AAAGATCCCTGAGTCGGTAAGGTGTTAAAAGCCTCCTGAAGACACAAACAAGGGTCAGGTTGCAGTGACAGTGTATGTGTGAATCCTGACATAAACAAGCACTATTAGTGGTGTGCACTAACAGAATATCCTTCTCTTGGCCTTGTAAACTGACTTTAAAAAGTAATTTGCTAGTTTCATCTTTTTTATTTACTATATATGTTTGTATTTAATAAATGCAAACAGCAAACAGTAACAGGATACAAAAGCTGCCCCAGACCCACATCACCCCCCAAAAAAATAAATAAAATATATAAATATATATATATATATATATACCGTATTTTTCGCCGTATAAGACGCACTTTTTCTTCCCCAAAACTGGGGGGGAAATGTCAGTGCGTCTTATAAGGCGAATATGGTGCGGCCGGTCCGGTATTTCCGCGACGGCCGTGTCAGAATACCGGGCCGGCCGCTCAGCTCTGCAGCGGGACCTTACCTGTTCCTCTATCCAGCGGCGTGCTGTCTTCCCGGCTTCTGTAGTGTGGGCACTGGGCATGACAGCCGGGTGCCCAGTGCGCATGCGCGAGAAGCGGTGCGCTTTGTGAATGGTAAGGCGGTACCTGGGACACATGACAGATCCCAGAAGCCGCCGGACCAATCACAAAGTGCAAGTGCTTCTCGCTCATGCGCACCGGGCACCCGGCTGTCATGCCGAGCGCCATTACAGAAGCCGGGAAGACAGCGCGCGGCTGGATCGAGGAACAGGTAAGATCGGGTACCTGTCAAATTCAGGTACCCGCTCCCCACCTCCCCAAAGGTCAGCAGTCATCTGTGCTGTCCGCAGTCTCTGGTCATCCCTGTGCTGTCCGCAGTCTCTGGTCATCCCTGTGCTGTCCGCAGTCTCTGGTCATCCCTGTGCTGTCCGCAGTCTCTGGTCATCCCTGTGCTGTCCGCAGTCTCTGGTCATCCCTGTGCTGTCTGCAGTCTCTAGTCATCCCTGTGCTGTCTGCAGTCTCTGGTCATCCCTGTTCTGTCCGCAGTCTCTGGTCATCTCCTGTACTGTGTCTGCAGTCCATTAGTTCAGAATTTTTTTTTTCCTGTTTTCTGCCTCTAAAACCTAGGTGCGTCTTATGGTCAGGTGCGTCTTATACGGCGAAAAATACTGTATATATGTATACACAGTGCTCGGCATAAATGAGTACACCCCTACTGAAAAGTAAGAGTTTAATCAATACAACAATGAACACAAGAACAATTTAAAAAATGTTGACAATTTTCAAAACTGAGTTTTATAGAACATTTGTTTAGCTCATTATATAAAAGTAAGATTAATAATATAATTTAGATTACAAAATCTTCAGTTTTACTCAAATTAGTTCATGCAAAAATGAATACATCCCACAACAAAAACTACTACATCTAGTATTGTGTATGACCTCCATGATTTGCAAGGACAGCACCAAGTCTTCTAGGCATGGAATGAACAAGTTGGCAACTTATTGTAACATCTATCTTTTTCCATTCTTCAAGAACGACCTCTTTTAGAGCCTGGATGCTGGATGGAGAGTGATGCTCAACATGTCTCTTCAGAATTCCCCATAGGTGTTTGTTTGGGTTCAGATCAGGAGACATACTTGGCCACTGAATCACTTTCACCCTGTTCTTCTTCAGAAATGCAACAGTGACCTTTGGTGTGTGTTTTGAATCATTGTCATGTTGGAAAAGTGCACGACGACCAAGGGCACGGAGTGATGGTAGCATCTACTCTTTCAATATAGAGTAGTACATCTGTGAATTCATGATACCATCAATGAAATGCAGCTCCCCCACACCAGCAGCACGCATGCAGCCCCACAGAAGGACACTGCCATCACCATGTTTCACTGTAGTACAGTTTTGAAGCCATTGGTTCCAAAAACATTTATCTTGGTCTCATCACTCCAGAGTACAGAGTTCCAGTATTCTTCTTTTTCAGCACAGGCCCTGGCAAATTCTAGGCAAGCTTTTTTGTGCATGAGCTTTAGGAGAGGCTTCCTTCATGGACGACATCCATGCATTCCATTCCTCTGCAGTGTACGCTGTATTGTGTCATGGGAAACAATCACCCCAGTTTGGCTCTCTACTTCTTTTATTAACTGCAGTGAACTTGCATGGCGATTTTCTTCAACCCTTCTCATCAGAAGACGTTCCTGTCAAGGTATTAATGTCAGTGGATGGCCTGGACGTCTCTGTGAGACGGTTGCAGTTCCATCTTTGTTAAATTTTGTATCACTTTTGCTACAGTATTCTAACTGATAAGTAAAGCTTTGCTGATCTTCTTGTAGCCTTCACCTTTCTTGTGTAAAGAAATTATTTTTTTCTCAGGCCTTGTGCCATTTCTCTTCCATGTGGTGCCATTGCTGACAGCATGAAATGAGAAGGAGTTTTCTTTGTTAAGTAACACCCTTTTATAATCAGCTGTCTGCTAGACACCTGTTTAATGAATAATTAGACTCACCTGTAGTTGAATTCTATTTAATTAGGATTTTGTTGTCTAAAATTTAGCTTTGCTTCTAAGACTTTTAATGGGGTGTATTCATTACATGATTGCAACATGGTCTTGAATGAATTTGTTAAGAAAAATATATATTTTTTAAGAAATCTTGTTTGCAATTAATGGCCCGCATTTGGGGGAGTATTTTGTGGTATAGTGTCCCATAGAAAATGTTGATTCTGAAAGTATAGTAAAGGTTTTCTGACAACTTTATGCTGAGCACTGTATATATATATATACAGGGCTTTCTTTCTGCCGGAACGCGGCGGTACTGCGTTCCGCCACCTTTTTCTTCTTGTCCCCGCTCACCGACTGCCTCTGCAGAGCTGACAAGCTATGCAGAGCAGCGAAAGTGACAGGTGCCGGACGCGGCTTGTTTATGTCATGCTTGCGCGTGCCCGGCACCTGTCACTGCCGCTGCTCACAGCCGGTGAGCGGGGACATGCACGCTTCACCCCCCCCCCCTCTACCGCCAGCGTGTAAACATCGGGGGCGCGGACGATGGGCGAGGACACTATGCACGCTTCACCGCCCCCCCCCGCCGGCGTGTAAACATCGGGGGCGGCGCGGCGACATCAACGGCAGTGACAGCGTGGACGCAGGGGCCGTACAGCTTGGAGTAGGTAAGCTGCGCTCGGCTCCCTGTCACTGACTGCAGTATCATGTATTGCTCTAAATTTTTACTCTCTCCCCAGCCTGTGCCCACCTAAACTATCCCAACCACCTGTGCCCACCTAAACTATCTGAGCCCACCTAAACTATCCTCACCCACCTGAGCCCACCTAAACTATTTCAGAACGCAATTGCTCAGCGCTCAGCGGCGCCGATCGAGAGCGCCCCTCCTGTGCATGAGGAACAGGAAAGATAAATTCAGTGATGGACGGTATTTTTTGGAGGAAAAGGTGGCAACCCTAGGGGAGCCTGTAGGAGCAGGCACATCTACCAGACAGGGTACACATGCATGCTAGACTGATTTTATATCTATGCTGGACGTTTACAAACGGCCTGCCATGATTTTATATCTATGCATGTGTTCCTGGTGTCAGTACGGTACTGATTTTATATCTATGCGTGTGTTTCTGGTGTCAGTACGGTACTGATTTTATATCTATGCATGTGTTTCTGGTGTCAGTACGGTACTGATTTTATATCTATGCGTGTGTTTCTGGTGTCAGTACGGTACTGATTTTATATCTATGCATGTGTTTCTGGTGTCAGTACATTAGTCATTTTATATCTATGCATGTGTTTCTGGTGTCAGTACGGTACTGATTTTATATCTATGCGTGTGTTTCTGGTGTCAGTACGGTATTCATTTTATATCTATGCATGTGTTTCTGGTGTCAGTACATTAGTCATTTTATATCTATGCATGTGTTTCTGGTGTCAGTACATTAGTCATTTTATATCTATGCATGTGTTTCATGCAGATCATGCAAGAGGCAGCCGGGGGTCCGATGACATCATTTCCCTTATATGGTATGTACGGGAAATGATGTCATCGGAAGCCCCTCCCAAATTTTACTTGCATTCCTGTTCTCTAAAGGGGTGGTCCTAGGGTTTGATGGGGGCGTGGCCAGGTTTGGGTGGGGGAGTTCCACCACCTTTCCTCTGAGAAAAAAAGCCCTGTATATATATATATATATATATATATATATATATATATATATTCTACAAATACAGTATACAGGTACATTCATAACAACGCTATTGGTTTCTCACAGGCAAGTGTTCAGTAACATGATCCAGTATATACTATGCACAAGTTATAAGTTCAAAAGTCTGGTTGAGGATAATGAGAGAATCAAAAAGAGAAAAAGGGGCCACTGCCAGGTGGCCATTGTTCTATAAGTTTCGTATATTAAGAGGAGGAGGAGGGTCTTTTGATGGTACAAAGATAATACTGTGTAGGACATACAGTATTGTGCCCATGTAACTTTATTTTTACCCAGAGCTCTTAGATGAAGCAGATTTCTGGCCATCTGATTTAACAGTAATAGTTATCATAGCATTCACATTTACCAGTTTTGCCAATGCTGTCCTGATCTTTAGATCACAATAAAGGAGGTACCTTTCAAACAGATGTGTGCAGGGGCTGTGCAGTTCAAAGAAGAACTCTCACAAAAAATATAACATTTTATTTACAGTCCATCTCCAGGAAAAGTCAAACTCCTCTCTTGCACTGGGTCTGCACCTGCACTGCAAGGGTTAACTGCTCGTTTCATATTTGGAGGTCTGGATAAAGCAATTTTCCTTGCCTTATCTTGTACTACCACAGACTCCTCCACATGGCTAGACCAATCTCCTCAACCATTTTTTCCTGCATTGCAATGGTTGAATGCCCCTGACATCATAAAAACCAATGCAGAGATCATAGCCCTGCACTGGACATGGGAATGCTGAGGGACAGTCTACTGTCAGAATGTAGGGGAGTGCTGTTTGTGGGGGAAGTGGAGGATTAGGTAAGCAAACGTGTTTTTACTAGATATAAAAGACCAGTTACTCCTTGCAGTGTAGGTCCAGACCCACTGCAAGGGAGGATTTTTACTTTTCCTGCAGTTGGGCTTTAATTCCCTTATTGGGGGGCCCCATGGTGGCCTAAAAATCTCTTCCTTATGCTTGTTGTATTGTAGCTGCTCCCCATTATGAAACCCAAATTATGAGTGTTCACCTCCCGGCATTTAGAAGCTCTTAAAGGGCCAGGAGGCGGCAGCGGGAAGGGGTTAAATTACAGAAAAAAAGAGGTCACATGACCATTATTGATTTTCTTTTGCACTGGCCTGTGGGAGGTGTCAGTCAGTGCCAGCACATCACTGCAGAATGGCCTCTCAATCCTTTACTGCTTCTGGATAAGTGGATAAGCAAGCATGATTGTCTAATACAATAAGGAATACAACCATTCAGGTTTACTCACTCAGGAACAATACTGCATTCACATACTGAGTGCAAAACAACAATCTACAGTGTGCACAGGGAGCAGGCTATGGCCTATGAGATTTTCTAATCCAGATGTCACTGTCTCTATGGAAGTTGTATGCACCATATAGGATGCAGCAACAGTGACTAACACCCCCTGGGGCTGATGGTTTACCCTCCTAAATCAAGTTGCACACAAATGAAATTTATGTCCTTTTTTCTCACAAATAGAGCTTTCTTTGGGTGGTATTTGATCGCCTCTGCGGCTATAAACAAAAAAAGACCGACAATTTTGAAAAAAAACACAATATTTTTGATTTTTTGCTATAAATCATATCCAGTAAAAAAAATTAAAAATCAAAATTCGGCATAAATTTAGGCCAAAATGTATTCTGCTCCATGTCTTTGATTAAAAAAATCCCAATACGTGTAAATTAATTGGTTAATGTGAAAGTTATAATGTCTACAAATGGTGGTATATATACTGGAATTCAAAAAAGAAACATTATTATACTAGTAATGGAGGCGATCAGCGACTTATAGCGGGACTGCGGGTATTCTGACACTGGGGGGGAACTGACTAACTGCCACTGACATCCCCAGTGACACTAATACAGTGATCACTGCTAATAAAAAGCACTGACACTGTACTAATGATACTGGGCAGGAAGGGGTTAACATCTGGGGCAATCAAAGGGTTAACCGTGTGCTGTTTTACTATGTTGGCTGTGTGTACTTTACTATGTAAGCATGCTGCTTTGTATTGCTCTGCTAAGCAAAGCAATACAAAGCAGCATGCTGGTGTGGACAGGGGAGAGATTTGTATTGTTTATATACAGACCTCTTCTCTGTCAGTGTTCCTCAGTGATCGCCGGGTGCTGTCGGGAAATCTCTGGCCGGGACCTGTGGTGAGCAACAGCTGTAGCCACCAATGACGGCACAGGTAGGGACATATATATGTATATATATATATATATATACACATGATTTTGCGCAGCCCTGCCACCCTGTAGCAGTAGCTATAGGGCAGTCAAGAAGCGGTTAAAGTGTTACTAAACCCAGGACCCTGCATTCACTATATCTGGTCTCCCACAGTACACACAACATGGAAATGCAATTACTTTAGTAAATATAGCCTGCTAAATACCTTTTTTCATTAGCAGTATATAGCAGTCTTGTGACTTCTATCCGTATGCAGCAGAGCACTGGTTAAAGCTTGTGGGAGGAGTTTTCATTCTCTTCTAACTGTCCTATGAGACTGCATAACCCCTGACAATCTGTCTGGACTGTGCTGATTGGCCCTGGGCCCAATCACGTGCACCCTCCGAAAGAAAAAAAAACTCTCTAGATATACATTCTAAACTGAGCATGTTTAGATTGACTGCTAGAGCAATGTCAGCAGATGCATTGGAGACAGAAGAAGGGGAGGATCAGAGAAGACAGGATCAAACAGCCTCTTTTACACAATGCTGAGGATCAACCCCTTAGCTTCTACAGTGAGTATAACAAGCATGCTTTACTGCATATACAGACTGATTTTTCTGTTGTGGGTTTAGTAACATTTTGATAAAAAATAGTAACCAGAGAAGAATAGAGAACAAGTGCAAGTGAAGGTTTCCAGTTGATATATTGCCTAGATGAATTTAGTAGGCTACAGAAAGAGTTTTTATGGATTAGAACTGTGACTGGAACTTATGGCTTTTGTGTTCATTTACCAAATGAGTACATACCATTCTGTAGAGTGAAAGTCGATCAACACCTTTGACTTCTATGCTGCTTTTTGTGGGGACTGAGAAATAAGAGCAGGTAGTGAGTGAGGATGAGCACAGTTATTTCAGCAAAACTGATTTCACCTTTACCAAAATGTTATCAAAGCTAGCCTCTAATTATGCCATGTAAATTTAGTATGAAATTTACTTTGGGCAGCACAATGACTAAGTGGTTAGCGCTTCTGCCTGGCTATACTAGGGTCAATGGTTCGAATCCCAACCATGGCACCACCTGCCTGGAGTTTGCATGTTCTCCCTGTGCCTGTGTGGGTTTCCTCCAGGTACTCCGGTTTCCTCTTACACTCCAAAGACATGCTGGTAGGTTAATTGGCTCCTGTCTAAATTGGCCCTAGTATGTGTATGTGTGAATGCAAGTTAGGTACCTTAGATTGTACACCCCTTGAGGGTTAGGGACTGATGTGAATGGACAATATATATGTAAAGCACTGTGTAAATTGATGGCGCTATATAAGTACCTGAAAATAAATACTTAAAGAAGAGTTTACCGGTAACTTAAAGAAATCCATCCTATGATTCCCTCTTTCGTCCAGCTACCAACCAGTGACTGTAGCAAACTGAGGGGTTTAATATCCACAAACATAGTTCCCCGTGGCAAAACATGGGGATAATAATAGTATGGTTTGACAATCTTGAATAAATATCTAGGCAAAAATGGCAGTCATGTCAAATTGAGGTAACAAAGGGCAAATTGTTGCAATATGTAGGCAACAAATAGGCAATTGTGACAGTATGTGGGGAACAAGTGGTCAATCATTACATCACCTGGCAACAAACAGACAATCCTTACAATACACAGGCAACAAATAGGCAATTGTGAAAAGCCTAAAAACAGAAAATCATGGCAATACACAAGTAAAAAACAGGCAATCACAACAATGCAGGGGAAACAAAAAGGCACTTTGAACAATGTGACCAGCTGGTTAAAAAAAGGCAACTTATATATGAGCATTTATCACTGAAAACATGTTCAGAGGCATAAACATATGAAATCATGTACAAACAAATTTCCAATAGGATAGTTTTATAGGAATTAAAATGTGAAGGCTTAGCTTAGCTTTTTTGCCATCACTTTTACATGTAGCTGTAATACTCTATATGTAATACTCTGCGTGAATACTTTCATATGTTCATTATTTGAATTCCTACCATGTGTACTAAAATACATCAAATGACTTTGAAAATTGACTGATGACCATTATGATTTTCATTATTTTTTTCTGATATTTACATGTAAAATAGTTTTTAGTTAAATGCTGGCATCTGACAGATAAATGCTGAATACCTTTTTTAAAAATATTAGTTTGTTATGGAAAAATTATGTCATTATATCAGACTTCAAATTGAGCCATAAATCTATTTCCCATTTGACAGAGGTAGAGAAGAAAAACACTTCTGTCAGTAATGAATCACATGCTTTCGGATGCCCTCCATGTGCCTAAATGTCTGTCTTGCCAGAATGATTTACATAAAAACACGGAATAATTGTAGTTCCTGTTTACTATATCACATTAATATTATTACACAGCATTTATATAGCGCCAACAGTTTGCTGAGCGCTGTACATTACAAATTACATTACTTCTCTTTTATTTCACAAATATATCATACTGCATCTCTGGATTTCCAAGTTAAAGCAGTATTAAACTGCAACTTACCTATCATTAGATGTGGTGGCTGCATTAGTTTTTATTTTTAGGCGGTTTCCCTATCCTCTATTTTCATCTGGTGATCTGAACAGTAACATATTTCCTGTATTAGAGTGCCCCTACTCAGGACAAATGAGCATGGTGGGGGGTCATTAGCACCGCTGCCAGTGTTGACTCATTTGTCTCATCTTTGTAACTGATACATCTGCTGGAGAACTTGTTGTTTTGAAAAACAACAGACTTACTTGCAGGATGACCAGATGAAAATAGAAGAAAGAAAGCCTAAAACAGAGAAGAAATGCAGCCATCATATATAAGAAATTGTAAGCTGCAATATAATGTGGGCAGCATGGTGGTCAAGTGGTTAGCACTTCCGCCTGGCAGCACTAGGGCCAATGGTTAGAATCCCAACCACGGCACTGCCTGCCTGGAGTTTGCATGTTCTCCCTGTGCCTGTGTGGATTTCCTCCCACACTCCAAAGACAAGTTGGTAGGTAAATTGTATGTACAGTATGTGTATGTATGAATGTGAGTTAGGGACCTTATATTGTATGCTTCTTGAGGGCAGGGACTGATGTAATATGTAAAAATGGTGTAATAAACATGTAAAGTACATAAATTGATTATGTTCTATGAGTATCTATAATCAATGTTTGCTTTTGGGTTTAATACTGCTTAAAGTGTTACTAAATCCAGGATCCTGCATTCACTATATCTGGTCTCCCACAGTACACAGAGCATGGAAATGTAATTATTTTAGCAAATATAAAATGCTAAATACAGTACCTTTTCTCATCAGCAGTTAGAGCAGTCTTGTGGCTTCTATCAGTGTTCAGCCAGCACTAACTAAAGCTTTTAGGAGGAGTTTTCTTTCTGCTCTAGGAGGATACACAAAACCCTGACCTCTATCTGACCAGTGCTGATTGGACCTGTGCTGATCACTTGCACTCTCCCAAGAAAAAAAAAAACTTCTCTAGCAATACACACCAAACTGAGTATGTGCAAAATGCCTACGGTTCAGTCTGTCTTATCAGGAGATAAGAGTTGGTCGCTTGAAAAAGGGGAGGAACAGAGAAGAAAGGATTAAACAGCCTCGAGGGCCTGTCCTCTAGTGAGCCCTGTGCTCACTGCCCAGCATCATAGAGCTCAATTGGCATTTGCCATTGAATACCAGAATTGGTAGATCCGCCACTGGTGCCCTGTGCCTTTCACAGATGAGAGCAGGTTTACTCTGAGCACGTGACATACCTGAAAGGGTCTGGAGAAGCCATGGTGAACGTTATGCTGCCTGTAACATAGTTCAGCATGACCGTTTTGGTGGTGGGTCAGTGATGGTCTGGGGAGGCATAACCATGGAGGGATGCACAGACCTCTACAGGCTAGACAATGGCATCCTGACTGCTATTAGGTATCGGGATGTAATCCTTGGGCCCATTGTCAGACCCTACGCTGGTGCAGGGGGTCCTGAGTTCCTCCTGGTGCACGACAATGCCCGGCCTCATGTGGCGAGAGTATGCAGGCAGTTCCTGGAGGGTGAAGGAATTGATAACATTGAATGGCCCCCACGCTCGCCTGACCTAAATCCAATAGAACACCTCTGGGATATCATGTTTCGGTCCATCCGATGCCACTAGGTTGCACCTCAGACTGTCCAGGAGCTCAGTGATGCCCTGGTCCAGATCTGTGAGGATATACCCCAGGACACAATCTGTCGTCTCATTAGGACCATTGCCCGAACGTTGTCAGGCATACATACAAACACGTGGGGACCATACAAACTACTGAGTACCATTTTGAGTTGCTGCAATGAAATTTCAGCAAAATGGATTAGCCTGCTGCATAATTTTTTCACTTTGATTTTCGGGTTGTCTTTGAATTCAGTCCTCTGAAGGTTGATCATTTTCATTTTGAATGATGGGGAATCCTTATGTAACTTTACACAATATGTATTATCAAGAGATAAGAGGAGGGCTTTGGAAGACGGGGAGGATCAGAGAAGTCAGGATCAAACAGTGCTTTTACACAATGCAGAGGATTACCCCCTTAGGTTCCACAGTGAGTATAACAAGCATGCTTTACTGCATATACAGACTGATTTTACTGTTGTGGGTTTAGTAACAAGTTAAAGGTTTAGTCCCTCTAAACAGTGATATAGCCATCATTAATTTTACCAGTAACAAAAATGGTAAAACACCTTTACTGAGCTGCAAACACAGAAAGAAAACTGAACAGGAACCTGTCATGAAATAAATATCAAGGCTGCCTTTGCTGACTTTTGAGAATGCTAGTCCTCTGGCTACTGTGAGACTTTGAAATAAGGACTTCTGACATTTCTCTGATTTTATTGACATAAGGGATTGTTCTGGGCCAGTGTATACTGAATCCAGTGTGTCAACATAACAGTCAAGAAAGTAACTTTTCCAAAGAAAGTGGCCAATAGTAGTAGCCTCTGTATTTATGTAATAATATATTCATTATATAGGACATGTTGCATTTCAGTAACAGTTCGCTATTCCACCCTTCCTAGTTCTCTAGACCTAGATTGTAGGATACCTTAGCCGTAGTCCGCTCTGGGCCACATCTTTGTTTTTAACCCGTTGACAGAATTTCCACTCTGCACTAGCTGCACCTGCACAGTGACCACTTGTGGATTTACATAGGACCTTTTCAGAATTCCCATTCTCTGCAAATGGCCTTGTACAAGTCTAGGAGCACTTACTGTGCACTTGTGGCCAGTGTTGAAGAGAACAGTAGCCAGAGGATAAGGTGCTATGTGCTCCAACTAATCCTACATTTGCAACTCTGCTTAAGCTCTGTGTAAGTGCCATCTTACTGCTGTCAATTTATGTTGTCTGCTATGTGCTTTACCTAGATGTGCCTATAGATGCAGAGCCCTACTGTCAGACCTTGGGTTGAATATGTGGACTATCACACTCACTCCCTGCTGTGCATCTACTCTTACGTGCATCTGTGACACCCTGGCTAGACTATTATGCTTGACTGTCTCAAGTCCACAAATCATTATTGAATTCCAAGTGGACTAAGGACTGCTCTGGAGTCTGTATACATCAGTAATTAGACTATTACAGGTTCAGTTTAATAAATACCCAAAGGGGCATTATGGAGAGTCACCTTGGGCAATTGCTGGGGCAGTAGTCCACTTTACTTTATATTGTCTCGGCTGAGCCCAGGGTGGCAGTACAGCCCCCAATTACAGTGCAGTGGGGTCCTCCATTTTTATTAGAGGATAAACACAATGCCTTTGTTTAGGGAAGGCTGCTGCTGTTCTAAGGTAAGTATGCAGCTGGAGTGGGAGGGCGCTAGTATGATATAGCTCAGGAGGACTAGGAGTGGTGTAATTCACTTTTTCTGGATATACATTTGTAGATTAAGCCGATGACTGTCATCCCCACATTGCAGTCTTGCCACTTTTATTTAAAACGTTTATTAAAAACCCATGTATACTGATAATAGGGATAATAAAGATAGGAATGGATGGGCGGATGGATGAATAAATGGGAAAAAAGTTAGAAATAGATGAACTGATAATGACTGGGATGGGTAAATAGAAGTGGATGCTGAACCACATTCTCCTGTGTAATCTGTCCACCACTTCTCCTCTTTAACCACTTGCCCTCCTGAGGATTTACCCCCCTTCCTGACCAGGCCATTCTTTGCAATACGGCGCTGTGTTGCTTTAACTGACAATTGCGCAATCATGCAACACTGCACCCAAATGAAATTTATGTCCTTTTTTTTCCACAAATGGAGCTTTCTTTCGGTGGTATTTGATTGCCTGCGTGGTTTTTATTTTTTGTGCTATAAACAAAAAAAGACTGACAATTTTGAGAAATAAAACAATATTTTTGACTTTTTCCTATTAAACATGTCCAGTAAAAAAATAGAAAAAATCAAATTTCATCATAAATTTAGGCCAAAATGTATTGTGTTACATGTCTTTGCTAAAAAAGAAATTCCAATACGTGTAAAATAATTGGTTTATGTGAATGATATAGATTATTTTTTATACTAGTAATGGCGGCAATCAGCAACTTATAGCTTGACTGAAAAACTGGAGCGGGCATTCTGGCACTGGGGGGGGAACTGACTAACTGTCACTGACATGCCCAATGACACTAATACAGTGATCAATGCTAATAAAAAGCACTGTCACTGTACTAATGACACTGTGCAGGAAGGGGTTAACATCTGGGGCGATCAAAAGGTTAACTGTGTGCTGTGTATGTGCTGTACTGTGTAAGCATGCTGCTTTGTAGTGCTCTGCTATGAAGAGCACTACAAAGCACCTTGCTGGAGCTGACAGAGGAGAGATCTGTATTGTATACATACAGACCTCTCCCCCATCAGTGATATTCAAGGAATCACTGGCCAGGACCTGGTGATCAACAGCTGAAGCCACCAATGGTGGCGTGGGTAGGGAATGCAAAATCCTGTATATAATGTATACGTGGTTTTGCGCAGCAATGATTCACTGTAGCAGTATTTCTGCTATAGGGCGGCAGGCAAGCAGTTAATTACACGTGTATTTGACCCACAAAATAAGAAGCACACATCATGGTCTCAACCCTTTTCCTGAAACTAACTATGCATCTTTTTCTGTCAGAGCACCAAACAATTCCCAATCTAATTCCTGAACCCCCCATCCAGCTACTGTACTTCTATATACATGTTTCTGCCAACCTATACCATGTTGGCAGTTTTAACTCCTTTCCAGTACTTTGGTTCTGGAAACAAAGGCCAAGTGTGTTTGTAAACCCCCATGTTTCCAGTTATGCCATATTGACTCTCAAGATCTCCGTTTTTATCAAGATTAAAATTATTAGTATAAAGACATGTCATTACACATGACATTGCTATTTACTAACTTACTCCCATTGTACTACAGAATAATAAATCACTGGTTGATGCCACTTATTACCAAAAAATGTGAGTTAGCTAAAGAGACAGCAAACGTAGCTTCCTCTACAGCTGACCCAATCTTATGTAAAGTGGTTGTAAACCTCTGACATAAATTATGAACAGAGTATATTAAATGTCATTTCTCTCTGTTGCCTCATTCCTCTGCTATCTGCATAAGTAATTTCTGACACTAAGAGCTAAAAAGGTTGACAGGGGAGGGATCTCCAGCACACAACCTGTGAGTGACAACCTCAGCTCTGTTTCTGTGTGATGTGTGAAAGGGACGTGTCCCCCCTCCCCCTCAATCAGCTCTCAGAGATCTCCTTAGTGAGCTCTACAGAGTGTATATTCAACACTCTACCTTTCTGAAAACTCAAACAAGCTGTATAAATTCTGCATTTTAAACAGCTGTAGAGAATAGATCACTGGAGATAAAGAGGTAAAACTTATGTAGGAGGATTTTTTTCATCTCTGAGTATCACCTGAGGCCAGTGACTTCACTGGGTATATAAGGGTTTACAACCACTTTAAAGCTGGCATTTGGTGTAAAGTGTGACAGGAGGGCTCCTCTGTCTCAACCATATCTAATTATCCAAATTGATTTAGCACCTAATGCCACTCATGTGTGTTAAACTGATAACAGCTGTGTCTCTTTGTTGTTTCATGTATAAAATGCATTGTTCTTACTTACATTTCCTAATGACTGAAGAAGAGGCCAGCCTTCCTCCAAAGCTTTCACTACAAACTTTTTAGTTGACCAATAAAAAGTAGCACATTAAGTACAGATTTTTGCAACACCTTGCTAAAAAGGAATTGAAAAGTATGTAAAAATAAGTTTCAAAAGTTTATTTTAAACCATAAAATATAGAAAGAAAATTAGTACAAAAACTCCCCTTCCAGAAGGGGAAGAAAATCCGCTATAACATTTTGTATACAGACCTATTACATATCATTAGCATACTGTAATGAGGTGATGATGACAATGATTTGTATGTATAAAGCTCACATTTATCTTTTGTGAAAGGTTTTGGAAAGGCCTATATCTTTTCAGATGTAAGTTCAGAAACATTTTGACATGC